GAGCATAAAAGGTGAATATCTGAAGAGAATCCTGGCCACTCTTTTCAATAAAAAGAAAGTGAATGAAAACTAGGTCTGTCAAGCTCCAAAATGACTAAGAAGCTGCATAAAGGTCTCATAAAAGTAGAATAAATTACTTATATGCACTATATTTTGAAGTCTGATAGCTATGTGTGACAAACAGACCAAAATGTAATTCAACAGCAACTTAAAAAAACTCACATAAGGCTAGTATATAGAATAGTGAATCAAGTAATATGGACTTCTTTTAGTGCATTTTTACTACAAATTCATTGTAACTGCATGAAAAAGGATGACTGGGATATTATCAAAATATCTCTTTTTATGTTTCACACAAGAAAGAAATTCAAATCAGTTTGGAACAAATTGGTGAGTAAATAATGACTTTTAGGTGAATTAATTCTTGAAAACAAATAAACGAGTCAGTTTCTCAGTCTACCAAACTGCCTGTTTGTTTACATATGTGATGTTTTATGGTCACTTGGACATCATTCTGCAAAATTCACCTAATAACACAGGGTCATCTAACCCTTATTGTTTCTAAATCAGATCACTGGGTTGAGGAAAGCCCCACTGTTATGTAAATAAATGACAAAAGACTTGAAAGCACCATTCTGTCCTTTGTGGCCAATGACACCAAAAGGTCCTTCAGCAGGAAGGAAAGGGAGTAGAACACAATAAGTCAACAAAACAGGGAAGTGACCCAACTAAAACTTGACAATTGATAAGTGCATTTACAAACTAAAAAGAGAAGAGACTTACAATAACAGGCCAGTTTCAGTTCTGTTAATGGAATCATTGTTAGTTAATTGTAAATTATCTATTAAATTTATATTGCGTAAACTTATTCACGCAATGACAATGAGGATATATTCAAGACGACTTTCCTGGTTATAACATTTAAGTGGTATTTACCTAATGGAATAACATGAGGGTGAGTAAATGGTGACAGAATTTCCCTGTGAGTAACATTGTGGATACTGGCAATTACTTGAATGCACTTTTTTTTTTTTTATCTTCCTAAAAGCACATTAGATCAGTCTCTTGATCAGACTGATTCAGACTGCTGACTATTATACCTGTAACAGCATGTCTCCAGGCTCAATCCTGCCGTCAGCCGCCACCGCGCCACCTTTCATAATGGAGCCAATATAGATGCCTCCATCTCCTCTGTCATTACTCTGACCCACTATACTGATGCCCAGGAAGTTGTACTTCTCTGTGAGAAAAAGAGATCAGGCTGTTTCCAAATGACGTGTTCATCTATATTTAGAGCACACTGTGCACACTAGACCTTGAAAAACAGGAGGTTCGGTTTATTAAGCAGGTGGAGTGGACAGATAAGAGAAAAGGGAGATGGCACAGGGCTGGATGATGGAGAAAAAGAAGGGAATGAACTAGTGAATAAGTTCTTACCCATGTTGAGAGTGACAGTGATAATGTTGAGACTCATTGTGGAGTCTGTAATACTACTGAAGGATGAGGACTGTCAAAAGAACATACAAAAGATTAGTACAGATCAAACACTAATATGTAGAGATTTGTACTTTTTCCTCAATGTTTCTCACCCTGTCCATTTTGGTGACTTTCTGCCTCCGTCGTCGGC